AAAACAGAAACAAAAAAAAAATAATAATATTATATTAACGACTATCATCCTAAGGCTACTCGATGTAAGGACGAGATTCTTGTTGCTTGGTTTTGTAATCATGCTTTTGACAAAAGCATTTGGAGAATAAAACTTGTTGTCGTAGAATGTTTACTCGTTATTTATCAAACTAATATTTATATACGAATCGTTTATTTTCAAAATGGTGTTTAAGTACAATTTTTCCTTATTTTTTTTCTAAAATGAGATATAACACAATTTTCGATTAATTTGTTAATTTTTAATTGTTTTGTTTCAATGAAAATTGTGATAAAAAGATTAATAAAAATAAATTGATTGATTATAAAAATAAACTTAAATTCAATGAATGAATGTTAACATACAATGAAAATCTTCAAACGATATTTCAAATTACATTTTCAATCTGTCAATATATTTTATATTGATATATAATTAACGTTTACAAAATAAAAGATATATACTCTTTTTTGTTATTATGTATAAACAAAATTGTATTAATACGAAATGTATTTTAAATGATATTTACAATTTTGATTAATCATAAAAATGATGAATAAATATTATTTTATTTAAATTTGCGCGTAAAATAAATTAATACAATGAAATTAAATTATTGTGATAAGTTCAATAGTCCATTATGCATCAATTATATTTTATAATTAATTGATATTTTTGAATTGACCGAAATATCCTAACCTCAAATTTTCTCGAGATGATAACAAATGAAGTTAGTCACCATTTTTAAAATAAACGATCCATGTATATATATATGTATATTTTTCCTTTTTGTGTACGTGTTCGTATTAATATTCATTTTTATTACTTTTTATTAATATTCTTATTATTTTCTTCCTTTTTTCCATAATAATCTCACAAGAAATGGGCACGTGATAAAGGTGTTACAATAAAAAAGAAAAAAAAGTCTTATATCTCAACGTCAAGAAACTCATATTGTTACGTAAAGAAATTATTTCGTATTAACAATGATTAGTCTCACTCGTTTATGAAAAAAAAA